GCACGCATCACTCCTACATTCTAAACCGAGGCAGGAAACAGTAAGAAAGTTTAAACAGCATGAACCTGGGGACTAATACCATGTCTGCCTGCTGCCATTTTCACCTGCACTGTTTTGATCTGGTCAGGGCAAACTTAATACACTTTCTAGTAACAAGTTAGCCGCTCTCGCCAGAGACACACAAAGACTGTGCCATGGTTCTGTGTACATCAGGGATCAGGAACATTTTTCTGTACAGTACAAACTTTTTCTGTACAGCACTGTGATTGCTATCTGTGAACAGACTGATCCCAAAGGAGAACAGTTTGAATAGGGAAGTTGCAAAGCTTCACTTACAGTGGCACAACCTGAGGAGCCTATGGCTACATCATCCAATGGAATATAACAGGATATGATGCCACATCAAGTTTAGAGATCACTGATCCCACCACAGTACATATTATGTGGAAACTGAGGTGCTGTAGAGTAACTTTCCAGGAGGCTGGGGTGGGGTGACACTAGTCAGTATCTGCTTTTCAAAGGAGATCCTCAGAATTAGCCATTTCATACAAATTGTAAACTGCTATAACTAAGTACATTTGGGGAGGTGGATATTTGATAAAGTATTTGAATTCAAGTAAGTATAGGTGCTGAAAATATTTTAAAAACATTTGTAACAAATTCAACAAATAATGCAAGAGCTCTGACTACACAGGAGGTAAGGATGCAGCAAAGACATGGTCACTGTACTCTGGATCTCTTTAAAGTGGAGGTTGACATTTAGGTGATGGAGCTCCTGCCACCAGAGTGCTTGCAATGTAGTAAGCAAAGTGGACACCAGATAGTAGAAATGCACGCTAGCTAGCATCCAATGAACAGTAGAGGAAGCGGCAACAAACAAAGAATCAAATATTAGTGACTGTTGGCAAGAATCCTCTGCACAAAAGGCCCAGGAAGGCCACCGTCCAAGAGGCCCCAGGAGTAGTTAAGAGGTGATTGGCCAGACCACATCTGAGAACACGCCTGCTGCTTTGCCAGGTAGCCAGAACTCTCCTGCAATTCACTTATTACCAGTATGTAGCTAAATGCCACACTGTCTAAAATGTTAGCAAATTCATCTAAAACCTGGCCTTCAAATCACACATGTTCACTTGCTTAGCAAACCCTCTTTAAAAATGAAAAGCAGATTTCTAAGCACAATCCACATGAATGAGGTCATCATGAGACTCCAGAAGATCCATCTGTGAGTCTGCAGATAGCTGAAAGTCTAGGGTACAGCCTACTATCTCTTGCTTATCCTAGTAACAAGTGGCCCAATACCAAATTAAAAGGAGAATGTTCATAGCATATTCCCACCTTCCTTCCCAGCATCTGTCATTTCCTGTTTCTTTCTCCTCCACACCCTCCAGGCATTTCATAAGGAGTTTTGAATAGATGCAAAATGCATAGGCTTCTGAGGCTCAACAGCTGTTCTCTCAACGTTTACAACTTCTGTGCCCAACACAGGGCTGCAAGTTGAGGACTAAAGCTGAGAAGATCAGGTCCTAGGGTGTAGGTGTGTTAGTCCAGAAACTGTGGCCGCAGTCTAGGGTGGGTCTCAAGTCCAAGGCAGACCTAACAAGTATGCTGTGTGCAAGGAGACACTGGCATGAAGAGGGCTGCAAGGTTTAAGGAAAACACATCTTTCTTCTCTCCTGTGTATGCTGCACAGGGGAAACCTGTAAGTATGGGGCATGAAGGCCTTACCCAAGGGATACTTAAAGCCACATGCAGCGGTAACATCACTGAGAGCTTCCATTTCAGTTGAAAGTAAATGACTGAAAATTTTATATTAAACTAAAAAGTACCCTGGAGCAGAACATGAAGTTAAATAAAACTATACAATATGACTAAAAAATATAGTGAATGTTTACAATTAAAAAATTATTACAGCAAAACACACACTGCCATTAAATGCCCCTGACTTCAAACACACATACCCTATTGTTTGTACCACTTTCTGAAGAAGTTTTGCAAGTCCACTGTCATAGCTGCCTTGTCCTGAATAGATTAAAAATGTTCACCATTCACAGTCATTCTGAAAATTTGACAGTGCCAGAGACAGTAATAACGTGGAGGGGGACACTCTGTAATGTTTTTATGAGCCTGCCCTCCTGTGAGACGGCACTCAGCAGCAGCACTTACTTGAAAGAAATGAAAAAGGAGTTCCAGAACCGCTTTGCAAAGTGGGAAGAATGATGGGGTGCGTTCAAACAGAAGGAGACTGTTCTGCGGGGCATTAATGACAATGTCTCTCTTACTGTAATAGTTTTTTTTTTTTTTTAAACACATTGTATTTAATCAGCCACTTCAAAGAAAGGTCCCATTTATTGCAAGTCACTCTGGGTCATATGCTTGGCCCCCAAAGTTTTCTCTCAGTTTGCAGTTGGTTTTGTTTTCTGCTTAGCAGGATAAGCTCCAGTGTGGTACAAGACAAACAGGATGCCCTCCTCACAGAGAATCTAAATCTCTAAATGGACCTGATTAGACTAGTCCTTACTGTAGGAGTAAAGAAAGAACACTCACATTCAGTGACTTTCTATGTAGCTAGGACTTTCTTAAGAGTGCGGCATTACTCCGCGGAAGCTTGTTTTCCATGGCCAACCAGAGCTGGAAGGTCTAGAAATGTTTGCAATATCTTGCCTTTATATCTATTCAGGATCAAAACTGTGGGTCACTGTTTTTGCTTCTACTACATTTTTGGGAAATTCATCTTCAACTGAGGCCTTCTGTTTCTATATGAATTCAGCTTCAGGTGAGTGTATAAGGTCAGGAGACTTGTGTTTGGGGGTGGCAAGATCCCTGTCTCTTTGCTGCTGGCATCTGATATGCCAGTGTCATGAGGCACGCTGTCTGTTCTCCTGCAGTCCAGCCAGACAGTTCCCCTCACTGTAAGTGCTTCCTGTGTCAGACACACTAACTGAAGCCACAGCCGGAAGCAGGTTGCCCGCAAGCTCTAGGGTTCTGCTTAGTTCTTTTCTAGGTAAAGTTGGAAAAGTCCCTGAAAGGCAAACACTGAAGTTTTAGAGAGGGGGGAGGCACTGGCTAGCCTCTTCATTCAAAGTCCTTGCCTGAAAAGAGGCAGGGTGTGTATGACACACTGACACACACAGACACAGACAGACAGACATACACACACACACACACACACACACACACACACACACACACACACACGAGGGAGGAAGCCAGACTGTATGATGCAAATGCTCATCATTCTGAGAATCAGGGTTTTTCTTCCCAGATTCAACTGAAGAGACTTTTCTAAGAAAGACTCCTGAACATCCATCACCTCCTCAGAGACAGACTGTTCAGGTAGAGAATTCTGTTCATCACTTAAATAGGGGAATACCGACCGCCATACCCTTTGTTCTTTTACAGCCAGATGAGACACTAAGGTACATTTTTTTTTAAGGTAGAGGGGCTTGAACATCATGGGAGAGAAGACAGATTCTGGAAAAATGGAGCAGTGGCTTACTTATTTACTCCTGAGAAGCTCTGGAGGCAAGGACTGTCCTTTTCACTCAAATGGAAGCTTCATTTCTGTTTATCTTACCAAGCAGGAAGAGAGACAAGAATGACTGGCAGAGGGTATTCAAACCCCCTTATTTCAGACTCTCTGAAGACGCTCAGTGGAGCAGGTCTGATGATGAACACAATACTTTGCAAAGGCAGGGCTACAGGACACTTTGTAAATATTAAATCATTTGTCACTTTGGTGAGCTAGGATAATTATTTCCATAGAAGAAAAAGAAAATAATTATCCTTTAGAGTTTATTTTTCTAAGATCCCAGCAAGAAAAACAAAAGTAATCTACTGCTCTGAGGGAAAAGTGTGACAATGATCTTTAATTATGCTCAATAGCAGTGAAATTTACAATTAAAAGGCTCAAAAAGATAAGGGACAAAGAGATCACTGGGTACAAGAAGCTCAGAGGGGATTAAGGGATGTAGAGCAGAGGATGCTTTTAGGGAAGTGAAATATTTTGCACGATACTGTAATAGTGAATACATGCCACTGTATACAGTATTTGTCTAAATTCATGAGATATACAACACCCAGAGTAAACCCTAACGTAACTTCGAACTTTAAAAATAGAATATCAATGTTGGTATAAGGTTGTAATACACATACCACACCAATATAAGGCATTAATGATAGGGAAAACTGGGGGGAAGTGAGAGAGTACAAGCTACATCTCTTCTCCTTTCTATTTGTTCCATTTTTCTGTAAACCTAAAAGTGCTCTAAAAAAAAAATCAATGTCTATTAATTAAAAAAAAAAAATGGGCCTTGCACCTGGAATTCCCTGGTTACCTCCAAATTCAAGTACTAAAAATACAGAGATTCTCTATATTTCTACAACCACCCTGTGACATTTGTGACAATAAAAAGAACAATGCCTGGATTCATAAGTTAAGGCGAGTTTGAGGTGTGACTCTGTAACGTGTACACAGGACAGTGAAAGAATGAGTCATCTCATTTAGCTCCTGATTTTTTTTTTTAAGAGATTACCAGGTACTACACTGGGTTATTATAAGTATCAAATGGCTGTGCATCATGTGTCCCATAAATGGAACACATTCTCCAGGAGCCTTATAAATCAATAATGCCATTTCCACAAGGTCACAGAGCTAGCAGAAAGGCAGCACAGCAATCTGGACATTAACTCCAGTTTCAGGGCTTGCCTCCTGTTGGAAAGTTCAGTTTTTTTCTTTCTTTGGAATTAAACCTTTCAGATTTACTGATTTCTCTTTTACCAACCAAGCCATATGAATGCTGTCCAAGCTGCTCACAGCTGAGGTGTCAGCCTGATTCTGTTTTTGAGATCTGAATGACATTACCATTTTAGGTCATATTACATAATCTTCAGCTGGGGTATAATGACCAATTCCCCTTCCCAGATTGCCTTAATAGTTAGCTGTTCTTGGATGATACAGCTCAACAAAGACCTCCTGCTAGCAGGGAGAACCACACCTATTTCTGGTGAAATTCCTCTGCAGAATCATTTTTTCAAGACCTAGGGCCCCAGAAGAAGTGTTCCACGGGAATCCACAGGGCTGTGGGAACGCAGGAGTCAGCACCTGCAGTGAACATATAGATTCTGGGCACCTGCAGCTACCACACCGAAGAAACCAGAGGTCAGAGAAGAGTAGGAGGGTCTGGCTGCCTGTGCAGGGCAGGGCCTGCCCACGTGAGACTCCTAATAAGGAACAATCAGGCCAACTCATCCCTCTTCCCAAACCAGCATCCAAGCTGGCTTATGACACTTTGCTTAGGCAGCTTTTCCTGCAGTTTCAATTACCTAAGAAATTTATCAGATATTACCAGTGGCAACATAGGAGACTTCAGCAATTTTCATTAGTTTCCTTCTATTTTTCTCTGGGTTCCATTAGTTTTAAACTTTTATCAGTTGTTAATTAATAAGCGGCTTCATACACTGCTGTGTCATCGGATGGATTCATAGCTCAGACTAAAAAAGTTATGCTTAAGTCAGCCCTGCCAGACGCACTGAGAAGGAGGTAGTGAGGCGGTTTTTGTCAGTGTCCGTGAGATTCCACAGGAGTCAGGACCAATTACCAGGGTGCTGCTGAGAGCAGGATGGTTTGCAGGAAGGATGCCACACAGCACAGTCTCTTGAACGTGACGGAGGTCATTTGCCAGGTGCAAGGTTCGTAAATTCCTTACTGCTTTCCAAATCCTATTTCCTGATCTGTCCTATGTGCTCTGACTCCCCCAATATTTACTAGCATGATCAAGTACATCTCCTCTCTCTTGTGACACCCCCTTCTGCGATCCCCTCATAGACCCCGAAGCCCACACCTCCCCATTTCCCGTTTCAGGAACTTCTGCACCATTTTGAAAGATGTGCCATGGAATTTGAGAACTCAAAAGGGGACACGGAACTTTCTGATTCTCTGATTCAACTTCCTCATTGTGCAGGGAGAAAATTGGAGGTGCTGAAGAGAGTGGGTGGGTGAAGGTAAAAACTCAATCTTGGCCATTGTATAACATTTAAATACAAATGCTTACACCTAAGTAATGTTTTTTTTTTCCATTTTCATCTTCCCTGAAGACACATTAGGAGGCTACATTTTTAAGGAATCCTGAATATATGTACACTTGACAAATACAGTCAAATTCAGAAGACTGTATAGGTTGAGGAATTCCTATAAAGGCTTTTTTTATGGCTGCAAAATGACTCTATGGTGTACTCTATCAATATTTAGACTGAACAGGAAATGCAGGAATTAGGAGAATGGGGTTATAAATAGGATGTCTGGAACCGAAACGGCAAGCAGGGCACCCCACTGGAGTTTAGATCAAGATAAGGAGGGTAGATCAAGATAGAGAGGGAAAATAAAATAAATTTTTGGAGTTTATCCGATCAGCCACATTGAGGAAAATGTGTATGTGAATATTCAATCAGCCACACTGAGGAAAATGTGTATATTTTATATACAAACAGAGGCAGGTACAAACACATAAATTCACACACTTACATTCTGGGATTAACCCATGAGGAAAGCTGTTTTGCGAGGGATCTTCTGTTGGCTGATCTAACTCTTGCTGGGCACAACACTCATTTTCTACATGGTCTTTCAGACCACACTCCTGGGTATACCTGTTCTTCCTGCTCTACTTTAGCATTTAAGTTCTTGAAGGACAGATTAGGATTTAATTCACTGTTAGAAATCACCTATGACACCCTCCATGCAGGTCAAAAGGTTGTACAATCCAGAGAGCATGGGAAGCTAAATGCAGAACTGGGGTCCAGATTTTGAAGTGCACAGAGGGCGAGGGGTGACTTCATCTCAAGACGAGAGGGCACAATGTGTTACGAGGCTGGGCGGGGAAACTTAATCTCAGCAAGTGCTTTGTACAGCTGCCACCAACGAGATCCCAAGCTCAAGTGCAGAGGGTGGGGTGAGAGCCTGCCTGGCCGGCCGGCTGGAGGAGAGTCCCATGATGCTGACTTGCTGTTTCCAGCCACTGAGAAGCCAGTGCCAAATCCCTCCTCACTCCTCTCATTCTGATATTATTGAACTGTCTGCTATGGTGTCAGCTAACTTCAGGAAGCATTCTGGGAGTCATATTTAGAGGGCAGCACAGGCTGTATCCTCACACTCTATTAAGGGCTTTTGGAGCCCAGGTGACATTTCAGCTAGTGCTACTGGACTCCTAGGTTAGGCACCGAAGCTACTGATAGAGCAGTACCACTGCTGAAGTATCCATGCTAATGTCCCAGTCATTGGTCAAGACACTCTTTGCTTCTTCCAGGCATCCTCATTATAATTCCATAATAAAACTCTGGACTCATTATTGTAGGTTTGCATGGGGCAAAGAGTGACAGTGTAATGTTATGAACTGCCAGGACCTGCCTACTCCACGTACAGCAAAGCACATAGTACGTGCAAACTTCAAAAGGAAAGGTCCACAGATTGAGGAGCACATTCTACTGGACTCTCTCTCTCCTGGGCTCTCTGCCCACCTGGCAGGAACTCCAATGTCTAATTTCCTTCAAAGGAGACCCCTTCAGGATGGCTGTGTTAAGTTTTATGTTCACTTTTGTACACTAGTTACTACTATAACTCACTCTTCCCTCAAAAGTCCAAGGCCTCACTCTTACCTAATTATGATCCAGGAAACCTGACCCTCCCATTTGTGTCCTGAGTTACCTCCTTGAACCCCTACAATTGGTTCCTCTGACTATGACCACCCCTGGCAGAAAGGTGCTGTCCCATTTTGGAGAATGCCTGTCTGCAGATTTTTATAGCATCAGGCTCTCTCTTAGGTCAAGAAAAGTGCAAGACTTCAGACAGTTCTGCTTTAGAACAGAAAGGAATATACACGTGTTCAGTTCCCATTTTGATCTTTTGCCCTTAACACATTGTTTTCTGATTGTGTTTGCTTTCTGTGTCTTATCAAATAGATAAGAGTCCTGGGGCCAGCTGTCCTATTACTTTTTAGTTTTTCCATAGATGTTTAGGAGCACTGAATTTGCTAACAGATTTTATTTGCTTTGAAAATTTATCCAAAAGATACTTTCAAGCAAACAGGCTATTTCTTGCATTTTTAAAAAAATGTAAACTGTACCAGGCTTTTAAGAAACTCTTGTTCTAAGGATGCTAGCTCCTGAGGTCCTCCCCTCTATGCAAAAGCACCCCACAGCTTGAAAGAGGATATAGTGGAGGTGTCTGCCCTGGTTCTGAGAAAGAGCTGGCATCAGGCTTAAAGGATGATGGAGCAGACATTCTCACATTTAATTATTAGGGACTTATACTCAAGGGATGAGTCACTGGGGTGTGGCAGCTCATCTGGCTATGGTGCTGGTGAGTTGTCCTTTCCTGGGCACACATTCCCCTGACACGTGGCCACCAAAGGACATACAGTCCCTGTCTCAAATTTAAGTGAGGGTAGTGGAGTTCATCAGGTTAGCGAGTCAAAATTAATATATTCCAGATACATCATTTACAGGAGCTGTGCTTTGTCTGTTTTCCAACTCCTGATATCCAACAACCCACTACAGTACTTAAGGCAGTTGCATGAAGAGTTGTACTGGCAGTGGCAGCTCTGAGAATTAAACCTCTAACCACGAGGCTGCCATCTGGTTGATCTATGCACTGGCCAGTCAGCATTACTTAGGAGATCCTCTTTCACATCCTTCTGTCTATCCTCTATGAGGCCTTTTCTGCCTCTTCTAATGCTCAGCATTGGTAGCAAAGAGCCTGGGAGACAAGCCAGTCCAAGTCAGAAAAACCAGATGTAGCCAGATGACTGACGGCTGCAGGCTCTGTCCCAGAGGGTATATGCACATGCACCAAGATAATGGTTATCTGTGAACACACAGAGATGTGTGGTTATCACTGTGTGGGGGCTTAGTGCATACGCAGAATTGTTCTCTAGCTTTGTGACCCTGGTGAAGATGCTCAACCTTCCTGAGCTTTAAGGTTCCATTTAATAAAATGGAAACAGCACCATGCATTGTACTGCATGTGCAGGATTAAATGAGATTGTGTGCATAAAGTGCTTATTTTGTCAACATTGATTAATGGTAACTTAGTGTAAGTTATTTCCTACTTGCCCTTGACATGGCCAATTCCAAGATATAGAAGTGAAATTTAAATTCAATTAGCAAAAAGATACTTTATATTTCAGTTGTTTGGTTAGTTTTACTAAATTTCCTTTTAAAGCATCTCAAGTGTCTAACTTTTAACACTAACTTGGTCTCCTGTACTTGACTGCAGTAAAAAAATGGGCTATTACATCTTTGTTGCTGGATCATGTATTTGATCTTTTACTCATAGTCCACCCACTTGTGTATTACTTAAATTCTCTAGGACAAAATACTCATAGTGAATTGCTAATCCAAAAGCATGCCCTTCTAAATTACCATCTAAAGACTAACATAAATTTTCAGTTTAAGTGGTACAAAAGCAAAACCAAACAGTGCTAAAGTTGTACAAAACATGATGTGTGACACATGAATTGTGAAAATTTAAATGCAGACCAAGGCTAATTAAAGCTTACTTATTAGCTTCTTCTTGTAGGTTATGGCAAGACTGCATGTTCTAGGCCAGCCTCTCTCAAAAGAAAAAATAAAAATGCTGAGGGATATAGCTCATAGCTCAGTGGGAGGACATCCCTGGCTTCAGTCCCCAGCAGCCAGTAAAACAAACAAACAAACAGACCCCCCCCCCCAACTGCTTATTAAAATAGGCAAGCACCAAACTCCAAGTTCTTCGTGGGAAAGATAAGTTTTTCCTCCTGCTTTGAACTGCCAGGGGCTATGGTGAGGGCACGATGCAGTTTCCTGTCTCCAAAGCACAGTGTGCCTAGGGCTTTGGTGACTAACAGTGAGCCTGCTTCTCCTGTAGGAAGTGTGCTGTGAGCTGCAGGGGAGAAGGGTGAGTATCCCTTCACTTCCAAATCACAGACTCACCTGCCAGCAGGTACTCAGGCAAAGGGAAAAGTCATCAGCAAATCACAATCTACAATACAAGAACCCACAGACTGCCGCTCAAATCAATTCCAGTGTAATTTCAGGCAGTGAAAGCAGGTGAAACCACTAAATACAAGGAACACAATTCACAAGTGCTGGACCTCTTCCTGACAACTGAGAAAGCTGGACACCCACCATGCTTGCCTCTAAACTCAAGGACAATGAAGGATTTAACTTTGAGAGAGGGGAGGACACAGGGTTTTCCCACAGAAGTGCAAAATGTCAACGTGTCTAGTCTGATTTCTCTTAGTAACAACATGCCCACAGCCAAGGTGCCTCGGAGTCCTGGTAATGAAACTCGCTTTGTATCCTCAGAGCGCCTGAGGTGCTCTGCTTCCTGGCTGCAGCGCTCTGAGCCTGCTGCGTCCTCTCTGCACTCCTCCACAAGTGCTCACCACCCACCAGATCTCATCTGTTTGTCTCACTGCCACATGACGGATGTGTGAGGTAGGATTAACCTCAGTTTACAGACAGGAAACTCGGGTCAGTGACAACCCATGACTTGCCCAGGGTTACACAGCTATGAAGCAGCACATCTGAAAATCAAACTTTGGATCTCCTGCTTCTAGATCCAATAGCTGAATAGAGATGGATTCACAGTGGGCATTATTAGCCTGGCCCTGTTTTGGTCAGAAATACCTTCACCTTCAGTGAATTAAGAAAGGAGATGACCAGAAAAAAAAAAAAAGAGAGAGCATGATCTGTTTTGCTGAAGTGAACATTAATTTGTGAGTGAACAGCTAGCATGAAGTTCTCAACTGTGAGGCACAGTTTCTTCAGATTTTCCTCCTTTTTCTCCCTCCAGCGATGCCAAGAAACAGCCAATTTCCACTTACAGAGAGCAGTAGCTGAAGGCAAGTTCCAGGAGTTAGAAAGGTCATGTTTTGGACTGAGGAAAGCTGTCTTGTGTTTTAGATGGCCAGGCAGCCGCCAAAGGGGAACCGGGACAGGGAGCATCAATGCCAGCACACAGCCACCCTTCTCACCACTTTCATTCATGGCTAGTCACCTTTATCTTCCCAGAGTCAGGTGGGGT